CAGCTTCCTGCAGTTTGACTCTCAGGCTTTTGTCTCCTCCGACGGCGTCGCGAGGCTGCAGGCAGGAGGCCCTCACCGTGACGCCGTCCATGTCTGGCAGCAGCAGGCACACGCCGGCCGGGCCACACTCCACCTCGACAGGGAGCGAACCCGGCCCTGCTGGGGTCACTGGCCAGGGGAGGGAGGGAGAGGTGGGTGGGTGGGTGGGTGCGTGGGTGGGTGAGTGGGTGAGTGAGTGGGTGAGTGGGTGAGTGAGGGGGTGAGTGAGTGAGTGAGTGGGTGAGTGGGTGGGTGAGTGAGTGAGTGGGTGAGTCGGTGAGTGAGTGGGTGAGTGAGTGAGTGGGTGAGTGGGTGAGTGGGTGGGTGGGTGAGTGAGTGGGTGAGTGAGTGAGTGGGTGAGTGAGTGGGTGGGTGAGTGGGTGAGTGGGTGGGTGAGTGGGTGAGTGAGTGAGTGAGTGGGTGGGTGGGTGGGTGGGTGAGTGGGTGAGTGAGTGCGTGGGTGGGTGGGTGAGTGGGTGGGTGGATGGGTATGTGGATGGGTGAGTGGGTGAGTGAGTGAGTGAGTGGGTGGGTGAGTGGGTGAGTGGGTGGGTGGATGGGTGAGTGGGTGGGTGAGTGGGTGGGTGCATGAGTGGGTGGATGGGTAAGTGGGTGGGTGAGTGGGTGGATGGGTAAGTGAGTCGGTGAGTGAGTGGGTGGGATAGTGGGTGGGTGAGTGGTGGGGTAATTGGGTAGGTGGGTAGGGGTGGGTGAGTGGGTGGGACAGTAGGTGGGTGAGTGGGTGGGTGAGTGGGTGAGTGCGTGGTTGGGTGATTGGGTAGGTGAGTGAGTGGTTGGGACAGTCGGTGGGTGAGTGGGTGGGTGAGTGGGTGGGTGAGCGGGTGAGTGAGTGGGTGAGTGTGTGGGTGGTTGGGTGGGTGAGCGGGTGGGTGAGTGGATGGTTGAGTGGGTGAGCGGGTGGGTGAGTGAGTGGTTGAGCGGGTGGGTGAGCGGGTGGGTGAGCGGATGGGTGAGTGAGTGGTTGAGCGGGTGGGTGAGTGGATGGGTGAGTGGATGGGTGAGTGGATGGGTGAGTGGATGGGTGAGTGGGTGAGTGGGTAGTTGGGTGGGTGAGCGGGTGAGTGGGTGGATGAGTGGGTGGGTGAATAGGTGGATGAATGGGTGGGTGAAAGAGTGAATGAGTGCGTGAATGAAAGAGGGAGTGAGTGAATGAGCGAGTGAATGAGCGAGTGAATGGGTGAGTGAAAGAATGAATGAGTGAGTGAATGAGTGAATGAGGGAGTGAGTGAGTGAATGAGTGAGTGAGTGAATGAGTGAATGAGTGAGTGAATGAAAGAGGGAGTGAGTGAATGAGCGAGTGAATGAGCGAGTGAATGGGTGAGTGAAAGAATGAATGAGTGAGTGAATGAGTGAATGAGGGAGTGAGTGAGTGAATGAGTGAGTGAGTGAATGAGTGAATGAGTGAGTGAATGAAAGAGTGAGTGAAAGAGTGAGTGAATGAGTGAATGAATGAGTGAATGAATGAAAGAGTGAGTGAATGAGTGAGTGAATGAGTGAATGAGTGAGTGAATGAATGAAAGAGTGAGTGAATGAGTGAGTGAAAGAGTGAGTAAATGAGTGAGTGAATGAAAGAGTGAGTGAAAGAGTGAGTGAATGAGTCAGTGAATGAGTGAGTGAATGAGTGAGTGAATGAAAGAGTGAGTGAAAGAGTGAGTGAATGAGTGAATGAATGAAAGAGTGAGTGAAAGAGTGAGTGAATGAGTGAATGAGTGAGTGAATGAGTGAGTGAATGAGTGAGTGAATGAGTGAGTGAATGAGTGAATGAAAGAGTGAGTGAAAGAGTGAGTGAATGAGTGAGTGAATGAGTGAGTGAATGAGTGAATGAGTGAGTGAATGAGTGAATGAAAGAGTGAGTGAATGAAAGAGTGAGTAAATGAAAGAGTAAGTGAATGAGTGAAGGAATGAGTGAGTGAATAAAATAGTGAATGAGTGAGTGAATGAAAGAGTGAATGAGTGAGTGAATGAAAGAGTGAGTGAATGAGTGAATGAAAGAGTGAATGAGTGAATGAAAGAGTGAATGAGTGAATGAAAGTAAGTGAATGAGTGAGTGAATGAAAGAGGGAGTGAGTGAATGAAAGAGAGAGTGAATGAGTGAGTGAATGAGTGAGTGAATGAAAGCGAGTGAATGAACGAGTGAATGAAAGAGTGAGTGAATGAAAGAGCGAGTGAATGAAAGAGCGAGTGAATGAGTGAGTGAATGAGTGAAAGAATGAATGAGTGAGTGGGTGGGTGAGTGAGTGAGTGGGTGAGTGAGTGAGTGGGTGAGTGGGTGAGTGAGTGGATGAGTGGGTGAGGGAGTGAGTGAGTGGGTGAGTGGGTGAGTGAGTGGGTGAGTGAGTGAATGAGTGAATGAGTGAGTGAATGAAAGAGTGAGTGAATGAAAGAGTGAGTGAGTGAGTGAATGAGTGAGTGAATGAAAGAGTGTTCGCCGTCTCTCACGGATGACGCCCGGCACCGCCACCCCTACGACGGAGCAGCGTGATGGGAGAATCCGCTCCAACTCCTCCGACAGACGCACGGCTCGCTCCATCCTCGCTGGGACACGGGGGGGAGACACGGGGAGACACGGGGAGACACGGGGAGACACGGGGGAGACACGGGGGGTAGACACGGGGAGACACGGGGGAGACGGGGGAGACACGGGGGAGACACGGGGGAGACGGGGGAGACACGGGGGAGACACGGGGAGACACGGGGAGACACGGGGGAGACACGGGGAGACACGGGGAGACACGGGGAGACACGGGGGGGAGACACGGGGGAGACACGGGGGAGACACGGGGAGACACGGGGGGTAGACACGGGGAGACACGGGGGAGACGGGGGAGACACGGGGGAGACACGGGGGAGACACGAGGAGACACGGGGAGACACGGGGGAGACACGGGGAGACACGGGGGAGACGGGGGAGACAAAGGGGAGACACGGGGAGACACGAGGAGACACGGGGGAGACACGGGGGGGAGACACGGGGAGACACGGGGAGACACGGGGGGGAGACACGGGGGGGAGACACGGGGGAGACACGGGGAGACACGGGGGAGACACGAGGAGACACGGGGAGACACGGGGGAGACACAGGGGAGACACGGGGGAGACACGGGGGAGACACGGGGGAGACACGGGGGAGACACGGGGGGACACGGGGGAGACACGGGGGAGACACGGGGGGTAGACACGGGGAGACACGGGGGAGACACGGGGGAGACACGGGGGAGACACGGGGAGACACGGGGGAGACACGGGGAGGAGACACGGGGGAGACACGGGGGAGACACGGGGAGACACGGGGGAGACACGGGGGAGACACGGGGGGTAGACACGGGGAGACACGGGGGAGACACGGGGGAGACACGAGGGAGACACGGGGAGACACGAGGAGACACGGGGAGACACGAGGAGACACGGGGGAGACACGGGGGAGACAAAGGGGAGACACGGGGGGGACACGAGGGAGACATGAGGGAGACAAAGGGGAGACACGGGGTCAAACGATTAGACCCACTTCCAAATCACCCATTCTCTATGACGCTCTCCCTCGTCCCAGTGTCTGCCAGTGTCTCCCCCGTGTCTCTCCCGTGTCCCCCCGTGTCTCACCATTGTCTCCCCCGTGTCTCCCCGTGTCTCCCCCGTGTCTCCCCGTGTCTCCCCCGTGTCTCCCCGTGTCTCCCCGTGTCTCCCCGTGTCTCCCCCGTGTCTCCCCCGTGTCTCCCCCGTGTCTCTCCCCCCGTGTCTCCCCCCGCGCGTCTCCCCACGGCTGTCACCTCGCTTGCGGCCTTGAGTCGTCCGCGGTTCCGAGTTGAGGAAGGAGTCCGAGTCGGCCAAATAGAGAGCCAGACGGGGAACACTCCAAGCAGTCTACACGGGAGGGGGTGGAGACACGGGGGGGAGACACGGGGGGAGACACGGGGGGGGGAGAGAGACACGGGGGGGAGACACGGGGGGGGGAGAGACACGGGGCAGCAGAGAGAGATTGGGTTATTGGGGGGTGGTGGATGTATCCATGTGACCCCGTGTCTCTTCCCCCGTGTCTCCCCCCGCGTGTCTCCACCCCCCAGTGTCTCTCCCCCCGTGTCTCCCCCCCCGTGTCTCCACCCCCCGCGTGTCTCCACCCCGTGTCTCTCCCCCCATGTCTCCCCCCGTGTCTCTCTCCCCCCGTGTCTCCACCCCCGTGTCTCTCCCCCCGTGTCTCTCCCCCCGTGTCTCCAACCCCCCCCGTGTCTCTCCCCCCGTGTCTCTCCCCCCGTGTCTCTCTCCCCCGTGTCTCTCCCCCCCGTGTCTCCCCCCCCCCGTGTCTCTCCCCCCCCGTGTCTCCACCCCCGTGTCTCCACCCTCGTGTCTCTCCCCCCGTGTCTCCAACCCCCCCCGTGTCTCTCCCCCCGTGTCTCTCCCCCCGTGTCTCTCTCACCCCGTGTCTCTCCCCCCGTGTCTCTCCCCCCCGTGTCTCCCCCCCCCCGTGTCTCTCCCCCCCGTGTCTCTCCCCCCGTGTCTCTCCCCCCGTGTCTCTCCCCCCGTGTGTCTCCACCCCCCCGCATGCCTTGAGGTGCTGTGCCAGGCAGGGCAGCAGTGCATGCTGCGAGGGGTCCTGGTTGGACACCGTCGCCCCCACAGCCGCCCACTCCATTCGCTGGCGATGGCGCAGGATTCGGCGAACCGTGCAGCTCCACAAGCGGCAAACACTGAGGGCAAGAGGTTCACAACGCTCGTGTTGGGGTAAGGTAGGGTTCACTCACCCATCCATCCACCCACTCACTCACTCACCCGCTCACTCACCCACTCACTCACCCGCTCACTCGCCCACTCACTCACTCACCCACTCACTCACTCACCCACTCACTCACTCACCCATCCACCCACTCACTCACTCACCCACTCGCTCACCCACTCACTCGCTCACTCGCCCACTCACTCACCCACTCGCTCACTCACCCACTCACTCACTCACCCACTCACTCACTCACCCACCCACCCACTCACTCACCCACTCACTCGCTCACTCGCCCACTCGCTCACTCGCTCACTCACCCACTCGCTCACTCACCCACCCACTCGCTCACTCGCCCACTCGCTCACTCGCTCACTCACCCACTCGCTCACTCACCCACCCACTCACTCACCCACTCACTCACTCAGCCACTCACTCACTCACTCACCCACTCACTCGCTCACTCGCTCACTCGCCCACTCGCTCACTCGCTCACTCACCCACTCGCTTACTCACCCACCCACTCACTCACTCGCCCACTCGCTCACTCGCTCACTCACCCACTCGCTCACTCACCCACCCACTCACTCACCCACTCACTCACTCACCCACTCACTCACCCACTCACCCACTCACTCACCCACTCACTCACCCACTCACTCACCCAATCACTCACTCACCCACTCACCCACCCACTCACCCACTCACCCACTCACTCACCCACTCACCCACCCACTCACCACTCCCTCACCCACCCACCACTCCCTCACCCACCCACCCACTACTTCACCCAACCACTCCCTCACCCACCCACCACTCCCTCATCCACCCACTCCTTCGCCCACTCACTCACCCACCCACCAATCCCTCACCCACTCACTCACCCATCCATCCACTCACTCACCCACCCACTCACTCACTCACCCACCCACTCACCCACCCACTCACTCACCCACCCACTCACTCACTCACCCACTCACTCACTCACCCATTCACTCACCCACCCACCACTCCCTCACCCACCCACCCACCACTCCCTCACCCACCCACTCACCCACCCACTACTTCACCCACCACTCCCTCACCCACCCACTCACCCACCCACTACTTCACCCAACCACTCCCTCACCCACCCACCACTCCCTCATCCACCCACTCCTTCGCCCACTCACTCACTCACCCACCCACCAATCCCTCACCCACTCACTCACCCATCCACCCACTCACTCACTCACCCACCCACTCACCCACTCACCCACCCACTCACCCACTCACCCACCCACTCACCCACTCACTCACTCACCCACCCACTCACTCAATCACCCACTCACTCACCCACTCACTCACCCACTCACTCACCCACTCACCCACCCACTACTTCACCCAACCACTCCCTCACCCACCCACCACTCCCTCACCCACCCACTCACCCACCCACTACTTCACCCAACCACTCCCTCACCCACCCACCACTCCCTCATCCACCCACTCCTTCGCCCACTCACTCACCCACCCACCAATCCCTCACCCACTCACTCACCCATCCATCCACTCACTCACCCACTCACTCACTCACCCACTCACCCACTCACTCACTCACCCACTCACTCACTCACCCACTCACCCACCCACTCACTCACCCACTCACTCACTCACCCACCCACTCACTCACCCACTCACTCACCCATCCATCCACTCACCCACTCACTCACTCACCCACCCACTCACCCACCCACTCACCCACCCAGTCACCCACCCACCCACTCACCCACTCACTCACCCACTCAGCCACCCACTCACTCACCCACTCACTCACTCACCCACCCACCACTCCCTCACCCACCCACCCACTCACCCAATACTTCACCCTTCCACCACTCCCTCACCCACCCACCACTCCCTCACCCACTCACCACTCCCTCACCCACCCACCACTCCCTCAGGCCCCGTGTTGAACTCACGTGGAGCAGGCGAGGAGCGTCTTGGCGGGCAGGAACGAGAGAACTCGCTCGGCCACCTCGTCCACAGCGGAGAGAACGTGGGACGCCACATCGCCATCACCACCATCACCAACATCACCACCACCATCACCAACATCACCACCACCATCACCACCACCATCACCACCATCACCACCACCATCACCACCATCATCACCACCATCATCATCACCACCACCATCACCACGAACTCCACCATCGGCACGCCTTGCGCCTACATCACCACAACCCTCACCACAACCCTCACCACCACCACCAACATCACCAACATCATCGCCACCATCACCACCGTTCCGCGTGAGGCGAGTGCTCATCGTTGATTTTCGTTTACAAACTTAAAATATATTTTTAAATAGAGAAATAAAAGCCGCCTCCGTTAATCGAGACGACGGCAACGTTCGGCTTTGAACGTTGCGTTGACGAGGTTATTATGTTAACAGTTAACAAATTGTTAAATAGAAATTTAAAAAAATATTTAACAAAAAAAATTCTCCTCACGCCGCCGGAAGCGGAAATTGCAGCTGCTACCACTTCCCGCCAATAAGGATTGGGGCCTGACGTCATCACGTTAGGCCCGCGACGTCAGTGCGTGCGCCATGACGTCATTACGCGGTTCCCGTCGTACGTGGTGACGTCACATTTAGTAATCCCGGTTAACCCGCCTCTCGAGTCGAGCGTCATCCAATCCGAGGGTCTTAATAATGTTGACGTCACGCAAAGATGACCTCACGACGTTGCACTTCATCCCCCCGCCCCCTCACGCCGTGCGTGGTGACGTCACCACTGCACTGTTGCCCAACGTAATGACGTCGACCGGGCAATCAACAGACCAAAATTGGTTATTAATAGCTGCGGGAATCCGAGGAGCTACGAAGCTCTTCGTTCACGGACGTCGAGCGGCAACGTTCGGCGTCTCGTCGTGGCACGCGATGACGTCACGGCGTACGTTAACGAACAGCACGCACGCGTGTTGACTTGCGCGATAACGTCATAGCGCACGCGCTCGGCGCACAGACATTTCATGACGTCAGAACGCACGCACTGGGCGCACGTACATAAGAGGTGACGTCACGCCGCGCGCGTGGAAACATTCGGAATGACGTCACAACGCACGTTAACGAGAGCGCCATGGACGTACGTGGTGACGTCACGACGCACGTATCCCAGTTTGCGCGTCGACGTCATGACGCACGTATCCCGTTGTACGAAGTGACGTCACGACACACGTGTTCTGTTGTGCGCGTCGACGTCATGACGCACGTATCCCGTTGTACGAGGCGATGTCACGACGCACGTATCCTGTTGTGCGCGGTGACGTCACGATACACGTATCCAGATGTGCGCGTCGACGTCATGACACACGTATGCCGTTGTGCGAAGTGACGTCAGGACGCACGTATCCTGTTGTGCGTGTTGATGTCATGACGCACGTATCCTGGTGTGCGCGGTGACTTCAAGACGCACGTGTTCGGGACGTGGCGAGGAGGGGGCGGGGCCTCGCCATTTGTTTTGGTCACGTGGTGAGCAGCACGGAACCCCCCCCGCGTCACGTGACCACTCGCCTCGAATACAGCAGGTACAGTAGGGTGGTGATGGTGGTGGTGGTGATGGTGGTGGTGGTGGTGATGGTGGTGGTGATGGTGGTGGTGGTGGTGATGGTGGTGGTGGTGGTGATGGTGGTGGTGGTGGTGATGGTGGTGGTGGTGGTGGTGATGGTGGTGGTGGTGGTGATGGTGGTGGTGGTGGTGATGGTGGTGGTGGTGGTGATGGTGGTGGTGATGGTGGTGGTGGTGGTGATGGTGGTGGTGGTGGTGATGGTGGTGGTGGTGGTGATGGTGGTGGTGGTGGTGATGGTGGTGGTGGTGGTGATGGTGGTGGTGGTGGTGATGGTGGTGGTGATGGTGGTGGTGGTGGTGATGGTGGTGGTGGTGGTGATGGTGGTGGTGGTGGTGATGGTGGTGGTGGTGATGGTGGTGGTGGTGGTGGTGATGGTGGTGGTGGTGGTGATGATGATGGTGGTGATGGTGGTGGTGATGGTGGTGATGCTGGTGTTGGTGGTGGTGATGGTGGTGGTGATGGTGATGGTGGTGATGGTGGTGGTGATGGTGGTGGTGATGCTGGTGTTGGTGGTGGTGATGGTGGTGGTGATGGTGGTGGTGGTGATGGTGGTGGTGGTGATGTTGGTGATGGTGGTGATGGTGGTGGTGATGGTGGTGGTGGTGATGGTGGTGATGGTGGTGGTGATGGTGGTGATGCTGGTGGTGATGGTGGTGGTGATGGTGGTGGTGGTGATGGTGGTGGTGATGGTGGTGGTGATGGTGATGGTGGTGGTGATGGTGGTGATGGTAGTGGTGGTGGTGATGATGATGATGGTGGTGATGGTGGTGGTGATGGTGGTGATGCTGGTGTTGGTGGTGGTGGTGATGGTGGTGGTGGTGATGGTGGTGGTGATGGTGGTGATGGTGGTGGTGATGGTGGTGGTGATGGTGGTGGTGGTGGTGATGGTGGTGATGGTAGTGGTGGTGGTGAAGGTGGTGATGGTGGTGGTGATGGTGATGGTGGTGATGGTGGTGGTGATGGTGGTGGTGATGGTGGTGATGCTGGTGTTGGTGGTGGTGATGGTGGTGGTGATGGTGGTGGTGATGGTGGTGGTGGTGGTGATGTTGGTGATGGTGGTGATGGTGGTGGTGATGGTGGTGGTGGTGATGGTGGTGGTGATGGTGGTGGTGATGGTGGTGATGCTGGTGTTGGTGGTGGTGATGGTGGTGGTGATGGTGGTGATGCTGGTGTTGGTGGTGGTGATGGTGGTGGTGATGGTGGTGATGGTGGTGGTGATGGTGGTGGTGGTGATGGTGTGGTGGTGGTGATGGTGGTGGTGATGGTGATGGTGGTGGTGATGGTGGTGATGGTGGTGATGGTAGTGGTGGTGGTGGTGAAGGTGGTGATGGTGGTGGTGATGGTGGTGATGGTAATGGTGGTGATGGTGGTGGTGATGCTGGTGTTGGTGGTGGTGATGGTGGTGGTGGTGATGGTGGTGGTGATGGTGGTGATGGTGGTGGTGGTGGGGATGGTGATGGTGGTGGTGATGGTGGTGGTGATGGTGATGGTGGTGGTGATGGTGATGGTGGTGGTGGTGATGGTGGTGATGGTAGTGGTGGTGGTGGTGGTGAAGGTGGTGATGGTGGTAGTGATGGTGGTGGTGGTGATGGTGGTGGTGGTGGTGATGGTGGTGGTGGTGATGGTGGTGGTGATGATGGTGGTGATGATGGTGGTGGTGGTGGTGATGTTGGTGGTGGTGATGATGATGGTGGTGATGGTGGTGGTGATGGTGGTGATGCTGGTGTTGGTGGTGGTGATGGTGGTGGTGATGGTGGTGGTGATGGTGGTGGTGGTGATGGTGGTGGTGATGGTGGTGGTGATGGTGATGGTGGTGATGGTGGTGATGGTAGTGGTGGTGGTGGTGGTGAAGGTGATGGTGGTGATGGTGGTGGTGATGGTGGTGATGCTGGTGTTGGTGGTGGTGATGGTGGTGGTGGTGGTGATGGTGGTGGTGGTGATGTTGGTGATGGTGGTGATGGTGGTGGTGATGGTGGTGGTGGTGATGGTGGTGATGGTGGTGGTGATGGTGGTGATGCTGGTGTTGGTGGTGGTGGTGGTGATGGTGGTGGTGGTGGTGATGGTGGTGGTGATGGTGGTGATGGTGGTGGTGATGGTGGTGGTGGTGATGGTGGTGGTGATGGTGGTGGTGATGGTGATGGTGGTGGTGATGGTGGTGATGGTAGTGGTGGTGGTGATGATGATGATGGTGGTGATGGTGGTGGTGATGGTGGTGATGCTGGTGTTGGTGGTGGTGGTGATGGTGGTGGTGGTGATGGTGGTGGTGATGGTGGTGATGGTGGTGGTGATGGTGGTGGTGATGATGGTGGTGGTGGTGATGGTGGTGATGGTAGTGGTGGTGGTGAAGGTGGTGATGGTGGTGTTGATGGTGGTGATGGTGGTGGTGATGGTGGTGGTGATGGTGGTGATGCTGGTGTTGGTGGTGGTGATGGTGGTGGTGATGGTGGTGGTGGTGGTGATGGTGGTGGTGATGTTGGTGATGGTGGTGATGGTGGTGGTGATGGTGGTGGTGGTGATGGTGGTGGTGATGGTGGTGGTGATGGTGGTGATGCTGGTGTTGGTGGTGGTGATGGTGGTGGTGATGGTGGTGATGCTGGTGTTGGTGGTGGTGATGGTGGTGGTGATGGTGGTGATGGTGGTGGTGGTGATGGTGGTGGTGGTGATGGTGATGGTGGTGGTGATGGTGGTGGTGATGGTGATGGTGGTGGTGATGGTGGTGATGGTGGTGATGGTAGTGGTGGTGGTGGTGAAGGTGGTGATGGTGGTGGTGATGGTGGTGATGGTAATGGTGGTGATGGTGGTGGTGATGCTGGTGTTGGTGGTGGTGATGGTGGTGGTGGTGATGGTGGTGGTGATGGTGGTGATGGTGGTGGTGGTGGGGATGGTGATGGTGGTGGTGATGGTGGTGGTGATGGTGATGGTGGTGGTGATGGTGATGGTGGTGGTGGTGATGGTGGTGATGGTAGTGGTGGTGGTGAAGGTGGTGATGGTGGTAGTGATGGTGGTGGTGGTGATGGTGGTGGTGGTGGTGATGGTGGTGGTGGTGATGGTGGTGGTGATGATGGTGGTGATGATGGTGGTGGTGGTGGTGGTGATGTTGGTGGTGGTGATGATGATGGTGGTGATGGTGGTGGTGATGGTGGTGATGCTGGTGTTGGTGGTGGTGATGGTGGTGGTGATGGTGGTGGTGATGGTGGTGGTGGTGATGGTGGTGGTGATGGTGGTGGTGATGGTGATGGTGGTGATGGTGGTGATGGTAGTGGTGGTGGTGGTGGTGAAGGTGGTGATGGTGGTGGTGATGGTGATGGTGGTGATGGTGGTGGTGATGGTGGTGATGCTGGTGTTGGTGTTGGTGGTGGTGATGGTGGTGGTGGTGGTGATGGTGGTGGTGATGGTGGTGATGGTGGTGGTGATGGTGGTGGTGGTGATGGTGGTGGTGATGGTGGTGGTGATGGTGGTGGTGGTGGTGATGGTGATGATGGTGGTGATGATGGTGATGATGGTGATGGTGGTGGTGATGGTGGTGGTGATGGTGGTGGTGATGATGGTGGTGGTGATGATGGTGATGGTGGTGATGATGGTGGTGATGATGGTGATGATGATGGTGGTGGTGATGATGGTGATGATGGTGGTGATGATGGTGATGATGGTGGTGATGGTGGTGGTGATGGTGGTGATGATGGTGGTGATGGTGATGGTGGTGATGATGGTGATGATGGTGGTGATGGTGGTGGTGATGGTGGTGGTGATGGTGGTGATGATGGTGGTGATGATGGTGATGATGGTGATGATGGTGATGATGGTGGTGATGGTGGTGGTGATGGTGGTGGTGATGGTGGTACCGGACGGGCAACTCTGTCGTGGACAGTGCTGTGGGGGGAGCGCCAATTCCGATTGGCCCCTCCCCTCATGGCGTCTGTGACCACCACAGTGGCTAAACGGGGGCTCTGGACGGGTGCGAGGGGCTGGTAACCCCTCCACATTCAATGATTTACCACTAAACCACGAATTAAATATGTAACTAATAAGTTTGTGCCGGAGGCCCCGGGGGGACAGGCGATTGAATCTCTACCCTCGGGGCTCCTCCGGAAACAACGAAAAGCCACTTCATGTGGCCATGTGGAATGTTCTAACGCTCACTGCGGAGGAGAGGATGCCACTCCTCTGTCGGGAGTTGGACTGGTACCGCCTGGATCTCTGGTATTCGGGAGATCCGGTGGACCGGCTCTGGCTCCTGCCACCATGAGGGGTGGACAGTCCTCTACTCGGGGCAGGAGACTGCCAAACAACAGGGAGTGGCTCTTCTGAAAAAAAGAATGAAGGGGGCGTGGGAGCGTGGCGGTGAGGTGTGGGTAGCTGTAAACCCCCGGGCTACTTTGGGCTCGCCTTCCCATCAGCCGGAGGCGAGGAGTGGTAGTCGTGGTTACTTATGACCCCACCGAAGACGAACATCCGTGGAAGGATGCAGGCAAGGCTGATGAGTCAGCTGCCTTCTATGACCTCCTGTCACAGGTGCTAGCTAAAGTGGCCCCTCGGGATAGAGTCATCTATTTGGAAAACTTTGATGCCCGAGTTGGTCATGATGCTGGCACCTGGTCTGGAGTAATTGGAGGGCATGGGCCAGATCAGCTCAATAACAACGGCAGGTGGCTGCTAGATTTTTATGCAGCCCATGGGCTTGTAATTACCAACACGCTGTTCCGGCATCAGCGCATCCACACAACATCATGGATGCATGCCGGGTCCAAGCAAGATCATCTGCTGGACTACATAGTGACGGACCAGCGGATGCGAGCCCATGTCCTTGACACCAGGACCTACCGTGGAGCTGATCTGCCCACTGACCATCGACTAGTCATCTGTAAGATGCGCCTGCCATTCTTCCACTCCGAGGGTGGGTGTACACCCAGGACCCCATTCCAAACTAAGGTGGCCTGGTCTCAGCTCGCTGCGGCTGGGGTTGGCATCGTCCCCCACTCCTCCTGATGTCGAGGGTAAATGGGCGAGGTTTAGGACTGTGGCTCATGCAGCTGCAATGGCTGCTTTAGGTACGCGGTCCAGACCTCCCCAGAGACCCTGGCTGACAGAGGAGGTGTTCAAGCTGGCTGAGAAAAAGCGACAGGCCCACTCTCATCGGCTACAGAATCCCACGTCCGAGAATGAGGAGGCTTACCGCAGCCTTGGTTGAGAGGTTCGGAGAGCCGTGAGGCGCTGCAAGGATGGGTGGTGGTCGCGGGTTGCTGAGGAGATGGAGTCTGCCTCAGTGGCCCACGATCACAAATCGCTCTTTAACTCCATCAAAAAAGTAACCTGCAGCGCCACACCTATTTACCATCATTAGGGGAAAGAACGGTGATCCAATCTCCGACCCCCAGGAACAGGTTTGCAGATTTGCTGAGCATGTCTGTGAGGTGCTGGTGGAGGGGAAATCCCTCAGCCAGGAAAACAACGTGGGACAAAGTGGGGATGACCCTGCTGAGGCTGCGGTGCCTCAAATATTGGAAGAAGTCACCCACTATGAGTGGCTGGCTGAGGTGCCATCTGTTGAGGAAGTACTGAAGGCGATCCAGAGTCTGAGACCAGGAAAGGCACCGGCCAGAGATGATCTCCCAAGCGAAATGCTGAGGGAGGGTGGCGTTTGTGCACAGACTGCCCTACATGACATCATACCTTGGCAGTGTGCTCATGACCGGCCCTGGTTTAACAGAGGAGGTCTCAATCCGAATCAGCCGAGTGGCAATATCTTTTCATCGGTTGCGTAACGCTGTGTGGAAGCTACCTGGTCTGTTGCTCCGCACTAAGCTTCAGGTCTTCTCGGCCACGGTCAATCCCTCCCTTCTCTACGCTTGCGAAACGTGGACCCCCCTAATGGAACATCTTCGCCGGTTAGAAACATTTAGGCTGGCTTGCCTACGATCCATCCTGGGTTTAACCAGGCTGGATTGTGTGAGGAGCTCACAAATCCTCGAGAAAGATCAGGACAAAGTTCCATCGGTGAGCTCCTCCGGCAGGCAAGGCTGCGTTGGCTGGGTGATGTAGCCCGCATGCCCAGCCACCGCATGCCGAAACAGCTTTTGTTCGGCTGGATCGAGGGGGCTGAACGGGCGCGGCACGGGCTAGAGAAGAGATGGAGTGATGTGGTACAGGAGGACGTGGAGCTGAGTGGACTTGCCGATGACCGGTACCAGCGGTGTCAAGATCGGCCTCTGTGGAGGAGGCTCGTGAAGGACGCTACTGGACAGTTGGAGGCAGTCGCCCTCCAACAACAACGGAGGGCGGAGGAGCGACGCTCACAACAACGAGCGGAGCGCCGGGTGGCTAAAGCACAGCAGGTTGGCACAGTAGGGGGCACAGGTGGTGCATCAGCCAGTCATCTCAGTCAGTCGACCCGTGGCACCTGCTGGGTCTGCCCCGTGACCTCCTGCCAGCGGGCGTTCGACACTTCACGTGGCCTCAGGGTGCACATAGCCTGGCACAAGCGTCGTGGTGACGTCACCGCCACTTAGTGGCGAATGGCTGTTGTTGTGTGTGTGTCTGTGTGTGTGTTTGGGGAGTGATAGTGTAGTGGTTAGCGCTACGCTGCGCTATGAACCTGGCGACCCGGGTTCGATTCCCGCTCATGGCCAACAACACCAGTGATGATTATCTGAAACGGTCCCGGGCCTCCCCTAGGTCGACTCGGCCTCAAATGAGTACCTGGTGCGGTGGATAAAAACATCGCCACCGGGGAGACAAAGGCGGTCGGGCGTGGTGCTGGCCACCCACCCCCTCATGTACCGTTCCGGCCTTCATAGGTGCTCGCTAACAGCACTTGCCCCTACAGTCTGTTAAGGCTATATGGGGGATCTTTATCTTTGTTGTGTGTGTGTGTGGTGTTGATCTTCTTTTGCACTGTCTCCCCGCGTCTCTCCCCGCGTGTCTCCCTGCGTGTCTCCCTGCGTGTCTCCCCCCGTCTCTCTCCGTGTCTCCCCGTGTGTCTCCCTGTGTCTCCCTGTGTGTCTCCCCGTGTGTCTCCGTGTGTCTCCCCGCGTGTCTCCGTGTGTCTCCCCGCGTGTCTCCCCGTGTCTCCCTGTGTCTCCCCCCGTGTCTCCCTGTGTCTCTCCCTGTGTCTCCCCGTGTGTCTCCCCTTTATCTCCCCCCCGTGTCTCCCCCCGTGTCTCCCTGTGTCTCCCCGTGTGTCTCCCCGTGTGTCTCCCCGTGTGTCTCCCCGCGTGTCTCCGTGTGTCTCCCCGCGTGTCTCCCCGTGTCTCCCTGTGTCTCCCCCCGTGTCTCCCCGTGTCTCCCCGTGTGTCTCCCCCCCGTGTCTCCCCCCCGTGTCTCCCCCCGTGTCTCCCTGTGTCTCCCCGTGTGTCTCCCTGTGTCTCCCCGTGTGTCTCCCCGCGTGTCTCCCTGTGTCTCCCCGCGTGTCTCCCCGTGTCTCCCTGTGTCTCCCCGCGTGTCTCCCCGTGTCTCCCCGTGTGTCTCCCCCCCGTGTCTCCCCGCGTGTCTCCCCCCGTGTCTCCCTGTGTCTCCCCGTGTGTCTCCCCGCGTGTCTCCCCCCCGTGTCTCCCCCCGTGTCTCCCCGCGTGTCTCCCCCTGTGTCTCCCCCCGTGTCTCCCCCCGTGTCTCCCTGTGTCTCCCCCTGTGTCTGCCCGCGTGTCTCTCCCCGTGTCTCCCCGTGTCTCCCCGCGTGTCTCCCCGTGTCTCCCCGTGTCTCCCCGTGTCTCACCGTGTCTCCCCGCGTGTCTCTCCGTGTCTCCCCGTGTGTCTCCCTGTGTCTCCCCGTGTCTCACCGTGTCTCCCCGCGTGTCTCTCCGTGTCTCCCCCCGTGTCTCCCCCCGTGTCTCCCCCTGTGTCTCTCCCTGTGTCTCCCCGTGTGTCTCCCGCGTGTCTCTCCCCGTGTCTCCCCGTGTCTCCCCGCGTATCTCCCCGTGTCTCACCGTGTCTCCCCGCGTGTCTCCCCGTGTCTCCCCACGTGTCTCCCTGTGTCTCCCTGTGTCTTCCCGTTTGTCTCCCCGTGTGTCTCCCCCCGTGTCTCCCCCCGTGTCTCCCCGTGTCTCCCCGCGTGTCTCCCCCCGTGTCTCCCCGCGTGTCTCCCCGCGTGTCTCCCTGTGTGTCTTCCTGTGTCTCCCCCTGTCTCCCCGTGTGTCTCCCCACATGTCTCCCCCCGTGTCTCCCCCCGTGTCTCCCCGCGTGTCTGCCCGCATGTCTCCCCGTGTCTCCCCATGTCTCCCCGTTTGTCTCCCCCTGTGTCTCCCCCTGTGTCTCCCTGTGTCTCCCCGTGTCTCCCCGTGTCTCACCGTGTCTCCCCGCGTGTCTCCCCGTGTCTCCCCACGTGTCTCCCTGTGTCTCCCTGTGTCTCCCCGTTTGTCTCCCCGCGTGTCTCCCCGCGTGTCTCCCCGTGTGTCTCCCCGTGTCTCCCTGTGTCTCCCCCTGTGTCTCTCCGTGTGTCTCTCCGTGTGTCTCCCCGCGTGTCTCCCCGTGTCTCCCCGTGTCTCCCCGCGTGTCTCCCCCCGTGTCTCCCCGTGTGTCTCCCCCCGTGTCTCCCCCCGTGTCTCCCCCCGTGTCTCCCCGCGTGTCTGCCCGCATGTCTCCCCGTGTCTCCCCTTGTCTCCCCGTTTGTCTCCCCCTGTGTCTCCCCCTGTGTCTCCCTGTGTCTCCCCGTGTCTCCCCGTGTCTCGCCGTGTCTCCCCGCGTGTCTCCCCGTGTCTCCCCACGTGTCTCCCTGTGTCTCCCTGTGTCTCCCCGTTTGTCTCCCCGCGTGTCTCCCCGCGTGTCTCCCCGCGTGTCTCCCCGCGTGTCTCCCCGTGTGTCTCCCCGTGTCTCCCTGTGTCTCCCCCTGTGTCTCTCCGTGTGTCTCTCCGTGTGTCTCTCCGTGTGTCTCTCCGTGTGTCTCCCCGTGTCTCCCCGCGTGTCTCCCCCCGTGTCTCCCCGTGTCTCCCCCCGTGTCTCCCCCCGTGTCTCCCCCCGTGTCTCCCCGCGTGTCTGCCCGCATGTCTCCCCGTGTCTCCCCATGTCTCCCCGTTTGTCTCCCCCTGTGTCTCCCCCTGTGTCTCCCTGTGTCTCCCCGTGTCTCCCCGTGTCTCACCGTGTCTCCCCGCGTGTCTCCCCGTGTCTCCCCACGTGTCTCCCTGTGTCTCCCTGTGTCTCCCCGTTTGTCTCCCCGCGTGTCTCCCCGTGTGTCTCCCCGCGTGTCTCTCCGTGTCTCTCCGTGTCTCCCCGCGTGTCTCCCTGTGTCTCCCCGCGTGTCTCCCTGTGTCTCCCTGTGTCTCCCCACGTGTCTCCCCACGTGTCTCCCTGTGTCTCCCTGTGTCTCCCCGTGTGTCTCCCCGCACGTCTCCCCGCGTGTCTCCCCGCGTGTCTCCGCGTGTCTCCGTGTGTCCCAGCTCCCGTCCCGCTGATGGCTAAGAAGGAGGCTAGCTCACTACGTGCTCCTGTGGAGCAGTACAGGAAGCAGATTGGTGAGACCTATCACCACCACCATCATCACCACCATCATCATCATCACCGCCACCATCATCACCACCACCACCATCACCGCCACCATCATCACCACCACCATCATCACCACCACCATCATCACCACCATCATCACCGCCACCATCATCACCATTACCATCATCATCACCGCCACCATCATCACTGCCATCATCATCACCACCATCATCATCACCGCCATCATCACTGCCACCATAATCATCACCACCACCATCATCACCACCACCATCATCATCACCACCACCATCACCACCATCATCACCACCATCATCATCATCACCATCATCACCACCACCATCATCACCGCCACCATCATCACCGCCACCATCATCACCGCCACCATCATCACCACCACCATCATCACCGCCACCATCATCACCACCACCATCATCACCGCCAACATCATCACCGCCAACATCATCACCGCCACCATCACCACCATCATCATCATCACCACCATCATCATCACCACCATCATCACCGCCAACATCATCACCGCCACCATCATCACCACCATCATCATCACCACCATCATCATCACTACCACCATCACCACCATCATCATCACCACCATCATCATCATCACCACCATCATCATCACCACCATCATCACCACCACCATCACCGCCAACATCATTACCGCCACCATCATCACCACCACCATCATCACCGCCACCATCATCACCGCCACCATCATCACCGCCACCATCATCACCACCACCATCATCACCGCCAACATCATCACCGCCAACATCATCACCGCCACCATCACCACCATCATCATCATCACCACCATCATCATCACCACCATCATCACCGCCAACATCATCACCGCCACCATCATCACCACCATCATCATCACCACCATCATCACCACCACCATCACCACCACCATCATCACTGCCACCATCATCACCGCCACCATCACCACCGCCATCATCACCACCATCATCACCACCATCATCACCACCATCATCATCACCACCATCATCATCACCATCACCACCATCATCACCGCCACCATCATCACCACCACTATCATCACCACTATCACACCATTACCATCATCATCACCGCCACCATCATCACCGCCACCATCATCACCGCCACCATCATCACCGCCACCATCATCACCGCCACCATCATCATCATCACCATCACCATTACCATCATCATCACCGCCACCATCATCACTGCCATCATCATCACCACCATCATCATCACCGCCATCATCACCGCCACCATCATCACCACCAACATCATCACCACCACCATCATCATCACCACCACCATCACCACCATCATCACCACCATCATCACCACCACCATCATCACCGCCACCATCACCACCGCCATCATCACCACCATCATCACCATCACCACCATCATCACCACCACCATCATCACCGCCACCATCATCACCGCCACCATCATCACCACCACCATCATCACCGCCACCATCATCACCGCCACCATCATCACCACCACCATCACCACCATCATCACCACCACCATCATCATCACCACCATCATCATCACCACCATCATCACCGCCAACATCATCACCGCCACCATCACCACCATCATCACCACCATCATCATCACCACCATCATCACCGCCAACATCATCACCGCCACCATCACCACCATCATCATCATCACCACCACCATCATCATCGCCACCATCATCACCGCCACCATCATCACCGCCACCACCATCATCACCACCATCATCACCACCACCATCACCGCCAACATCATTACCGCCACCATCATCACCGCCACCATCATCACCGCCGCCATCACCACCACCATCATCATCACCACCATCATCACCACCATCATCATCACCACCATCATCATCACCATCACCACCATCATCACCACCACCATCATCACCACTATCACACCATTACCATCATCATCACCGCCACCATCATCACCGCCACCATCATCACCGCCACCATCATCACCACCATCATCATCACCACCATCATCACCACCATCATCATCATCACCACCATCATCATCACCACCATCATCATCACCACCACCACCATCACCACCATCATCATCACCACCATCATCATCACCGCCATCATCACCGCCACCATCATCACTGCCACCATCATCACCACCATCATCATCACCACCACCATCACCACCATCATCATCACCACCATCATCATCACCGCCATCATCACCACCACCATTATCACCGCCACCATCACCACCGTCATCATCACCCCCACCAGCATCACCACCATCATCATCACCACCATCATCATCACCACCATCATCATCATCACCACCATCATCATCACCATCATCACCATTATCACCACCACCATCATCACCGCCACCATCATCACCACCAACATCATCATCACCACCATCATCACCACCACCACCATTATCACCGCCACCATCATCACCGCCACCATCATCACCACCACCATCATCACCACCATCATCATCACCACCACCATCATCACCACCATCATCATCACCACCATCATCACCGCCATCATCATCACCATCATCACCACCACCATCATCACCACTATCACACCATCACCATTACCATCACCGCCATCATCACCGCCATCATCAATACTACCACCATCACCGCCACCACCATCATCACCGCCACCATCATCACCATCACCGCCACCATCACCACTATCACACCATCACCATTACCATCACCGCCATCATCACCACCATCATCATCAATACTGCCACAATCTCCACCACCATCATCATCAGCACCGCCATCACTGCCACCATCATCATCCATCATCACCACCATCACCCCTACCACCAGCATCATCATCAGCACCACCATCATCATCACCACCACCATCACCATCATCACCACCATCACCATCATTAAACACTACCACCACCATCACTACCACCAACCAGCACCATCATCACCATCACTCCCATCATCATCACCACCACCATCACCACCATCATCATCACCGCCACCATCATCACCATCACCATCACCGCCACCATCATCACCATCACCGCCACCATCATCACCACCATCACATCATCACCACCACCACCATCATCATCACTCCCATCATCACCACCATCACCATCATTAAACACTACCACCACCAGCACCATCATCACCATCACTCCCATCATCATCACCACCACCATCACTACCACCACCAGCACCATCATCACCATCACTCCCATCATCATCACCACCACCATCACCACCATCATCATCACCGCCACCATCATCACCATCACCGCCACCATCATCACCATCACCGCCACCATCATCACCACCATCACATCATCATCACCACCACCATCATCATCATCACCACAACCACCATCACTCTCTCTGTTTAAATTTGTATTGGATGTACCCGACCCCGTCCTGGGAATGTGGAATAGCTGCGTGTCCGTGTGTGTGTGTGTGTCTGTGTGTGACTGTGTGTCTGTGTGTGTGTCTGTGTGTGTCTGTGTGTCTCTGTGTCTGTGTGTGTGTGTGTGTCTGTGTGTGTGTCTGTGTGTGTGTCTGTGTGTGTGTCTGTGTGTCTGTGTGTGTGTGTCTGTGTGTGCGAGTGTGTGTCTGTGTGTGTGTGTGTCTGTGTCGCGGTGCCGGACGGGCAACTCTGTCGTGGACAACGCTGTGGGGGGAGATCCAATTTTGATTGGCTCCTCCCCTCATGGCATATGTGTCCACCACAGGGGCTAAACGGGGGCTCTGGACGGGTGCGAGGGGCTGGTAACCCCTCCACCTTCAATTAATTACCACGAAACCACGAATTAAACTGAAATATGTAACAACTAAGCTTGTGCCGGAGGCCCCGGGGGGCCAGGCGTCTATGACGTCTCCTGGCCAAACCCCAATTGGCGAAGCCAGGAGATTGAATACCTACCCTCGGGGCTACTCCAGAAACAACGAAAAGCCACTACGGGTGGCCACGTGGAATGTTCGAACGCTCACTGCAGAGGAGAGGCTGCCACTCCTCTGTCGGGAGCTGGACCGGTACCGCCTGGATCTATGCGGCATTCAGGAGGTCCGGTGGACCGGCTCTGGCTCCTGCCACCATGAGGGGTGGACAGTCCTCTACTCGGGGCAGCAGACTGCCAAACAACAGGGTGTGGGTCTTCTTTTGAACAAAAGAATGAAGGGGGCGTGGGAGCGTGGCGGTGAGGTGTGGGAAGCTGTAAGCCCCAGGCTACTTTGGGCTCGCCTTCCCATCAACCGGAGGCGAGGAATGGTGGTCGTGGTTACTTATGCCCCCACCGAAGATGAACATCCGTGGAGGGATGCAGGCAAAGCCGATGAGTCAGATGCCTTCTATGACCTCCTGTCACAGGTGCTGGCTAAAGTGGCCCCTCGGGATAGAGTCATCATGTTGGGTGACTTCAATGCCCGAGTTGGTCATGATACTGGCACCTGGTCTGGAGTGATTGGAGGGCATGGGCCAGATCAGCTCAATAACAACGGTAGGAGGCTGCTAGATTTTTGTGCAGCCCATGGGCTTGTAATTACCAACACGCTGTTCCGGCATCGGCGCATCCACACATCATGGATGCATGCCGGGTCCAAGCAAGAACATCTGCTGGACTACGTAGTGACAGACCAGCGAATGCGAGCCCATGTCCTTGACACCAGGACCTACCGTGGAGCTGATCTGCCCTCTGACCATCGACTAGTCATCTGTAAGATGCGCCTGCCATTCTTCCACTCCGGTGGTGGGTGTACACCCAGGACCCCATTCCAACCTAAAGTGGCCTGGTCTCAGTTATCTGATGAAAGTTGCAAGCGAGAATTTCATCATCGCTTGCGGCTGGGATTGGCATCGTCCCCGACTCCTCCTGATGTCGAGGGTAAATGGGCGAGGTTTAGGACTGTGACTCATGCAGCTGCAATGGCTGCTTTGGGTACGTGGTCCAGACCTCCCCAGACACCCTGGATGACAGAGGAGTTGTTCAGGATGGTTGAGAAAAAGCGACAGGCCCACTGTCATCGGCTACAGAATCCCACGTCAGAGAATGAGGAGGCTTACCGCAGCCTTCGCTCGGAGGTTCGGAGAGCCGTGAGGCGCTGCAAGGATGGGTGGTGGTCGCGGGTTGCTGAGGAGATGGAGTCTGCCTCAGTGGCCCGTGATCACAAATCTCTATTTAACTCCATCAAAAAAGTAACCTGCAGCGCCACACCTATTACCATCATTAGGGGAAAAACGGTGATCCAATTTCCGACCCCCAGGAACAGGTTCGCAGATTTGCTGAGCATTTCTGTGAGGTCCTGGGGGAGGGAAAATCCCTCAGCCAGGAAAACATCGTGGCACAAAGTGAGGATGACCCCGCTGAGGCTGCGGTGCCTCAAATATTGGATGAAGTCACCCCCTGTGAGTGGCTGGCTGAGGTGCCATCTGCTGAGGAAGTATTGAAGGCGATCCGGAGTCTGAGACCAGGAAAGGCAGCGGGCAGAGATGATCTCCCAAGCGAAATGCTGAGGGAGGGTGGCGTTTGTGCACAGACTGCCCTATATGACATCATAACAACAGTCTGGACCACTGGACGGGTTCCGCAGGATTGGAAGGATGCCCTGGTGGTCCCCCTTTTTAAGAAGGGGGACCGCACAGACTGTAACAACTACAGGGGCATCTCACTCCTCAGTGTGCCGGGAAAGGTCCTGGCAAGGATTATTCAGCATCGCCTTGCCAGGCACGCTGAGGAGAGGCTTGCGGAGCCCCAATGCGGTTTCAGGAAAGGGCGGTCCTTCACAGATGCCATATTTTCTGTCCGTCTGCTACAGCAGAGGTGTAGGGAATTCCAACAAGACCTACATCTCTGCTTTATTGACCTGGTCAAGGCCTATGATACCATCAGTAGGCCTGGGCTCTGGGTCGTTCTTCGTGCTTTTGGAGTACCTGACCCTCTGCTCACGATCATTAACGACCTTCATGATGGTGAGCGGGCCCGGGTAAAACTACGTGGCCGGGAGTCAGAGCCATTCCCTGTACACCTTGGGGTGCGACAGGGATGTCCTCTGGCTCCCACATTATTTAACATCTATTTTGACCACGTAGTTCGTGAAGCCTTCAATAGCTGTACCGGGGGAATCTCCATATGGTACAGATATAATGGGAGGCTAATCGATGCCCGGGTGCGGTCAAGGGATGGCTCCCTATTGCTCAGCCACGTTATGTATGCTGATGACTTGGTAATAGCTGCTCAGTCAGAGGAGGAGTTGGAGACGCTGCTGCTGAGACTGGAGCGTGCCACTAAGAGGTGGGGCCTTACCATCAGCCCCACCAAAACTAAGCACCTGCCTGGGTATTTTGTACCATCGGACACTCCACCCCCACAACTCCCAATCGGTGATGGGGCAGTTGTGGAGAGAGTGGAGAGTTTCCCATACCTGGGCAGTGTGCTTATGACTGGCTCCAGTTTAACAGCAGAGGTCTCACTCCGAATCAGTCGAGCGGCAATATCTTTTCATCGGTTGCGTAACGCTGTGTGGAAGCTACCTGGTCTGTCGCTCCGCACTAAGCTTCAGGTCTTCTCGGCCACGGTCATTCCCTCCCTTCTCTACGCTTGCGAAACGTGGACCCCCCTAATGGAACATCTTCGCCGGTTAGAAACATTTAGGCTGGCCTGCCTACGATCCATCCTGGGTTTAACCAGACTGGATTGTGTGAGGAGCTCACAAATCCTTGAAAGATCTGGGCAGGGTCCCATCGGTGAGCTCCTCCGGCAGGCAAGGCTGCGATGGCTGGGTCATGTAGCCCGCATGCCCAGCCACCGCATGCCGAAACAGCTTTTGTTTGGCCGGATTGAGGGGGCTAAGCGGGCGCGGCACGGGCTAGAGAAGAGATGGAGTGATGTGGTACAGGAGGACGTGGAGCTGAGTGGACTTGCCGATGACTGGTACCAGCGGTGTCAAGATCGGCCTCTGTGGAGGAGGCTCGTGAAGGATGCTACTGGGCAGTTGGAGGCAGTCGCACTCCAACAACAACGGAGGGCGGAGGAGCGACGCTCACAACAGCGAGCGGAGCGCCGGGTGGCTAAAGCACAGCAGGTTGGCACAGTAGGGGGCACAGGTGGTGCATCAGCCAGTCATCTCAGTCAGTCGACCCGTGGCACCTGCTGGGTC